AATAGATCGGCGCGCGGGTGCAGTGTACTTGTACGACGATAAATGATAATATAATAATAATAATAATAATAATAATAATAACAATAATAAACGTCCGCGTGTGTGTTATTATTATTATGTTTATGTTTCAGCCACAGGGCTGCTGGTTCGCCGTCGCGACGTCGCCTCGAAAACGCGCGTATATACGAGTGCGGGTTTTCGACTCGTATATTATCATTGTCACCTACCCGTTTTTTTTTTTGTTTTTTTTTTGTTTTGTTTTATAATTCCTTCCGTCTCCGGACGCGTTTCACGGGTTATTATTATCGTCGTGTCGCGGTATTTTCGCAGATATGCGGTAGATGCCGGCTAGTAGACGTATGAAATGATAATATTATTATAATAATATAATAAATTCGGCGTGGGGACCTCCGTGTCATTTAATATAATATGTATTGTATTTTAAAATGTTATACCAGTTAGGTAGATACGCCCAACCGCATTGGTGCTCCGTCAATAAAACTACGAATTAACTATATTTGTTAACACTGTGTTATGATGAAAACAATAACGTACAATATTTATTTATTGCGATGCGTAAATTTAACATGCGTCACACATTTTGAGCACTCGTACACAATATTATATCATTTTTAATAAATGTACCTACATTGAACACGGTTATTAGATGATAATTTAATTTTTTTAAAAAACCAAAAGGCTACATACACAAACAAGAAAACGTATTTATTTATAGGACTAAAGAAGTATGCGCGGAGTGCAACTCATCGCGTTAGAAAGGACTCGAAAATCAAAAAAACCATCCTGAGGCCCCTATATAGTACCTTGATATATTTACGCGTGTATGATTAATCTGATCTACAGGATTATAAACCAAGCATGTTCACTATCCTCCATTTTTTTTTTTAAATATTTCGTGTATCTAAATCAAAATTTGAACTAGTGATTTCCAAATTATTGAAATATATATATATATATATATATATATATTAAAGATAATATTTTTTAAATTTTTTTAAAAAAAAAAATTAAAATAACATATTATTATGTTATATAAACATGATTGAATGTAGTATTAATTATACTTGAATGATTTTTACAAAATTTTAAAATGTTAATAGATTGATATGAATTACTAAAATTCAAATTAAACTATCATACCTCTTATATCTTCCACATCTTTTATTATGCGCCTATTATCCTTAACACGCAAAATTAAATAACTTAAAAACTACTCGTTTAAATTTCAATTTAGATATCCACATCAACTGTTTTAAAAAATTCTTCTAGTTTATAATTATACAGAGAAAAAGGTGATTTTCGTTTAAATAAGACTGTAGTACCACGAGACATTACTTAAATTTTATAGAAAATCTTAGTACATGTTTAAAAATATGGCCTTTAAGCATATTTAAAAGTTCCAAAAATCAGAATTTCAATAAATTAATTGTTTAAAATAGGTGAGGAAAACTTGGCGAATCGCTGTGTTTATAGCACTGCATTATATATTTATATACAATGTTTGTACAGTAGACAATTTAAAAAAACATCCACTTTGCGTTCCTATACATATAGCCACTCACGACATTTGTATCGCTCGCTGTCTCGCTGCAATCGCCTCCACGCCCAGCGTTTTATTACAATAATTATATTATTATCTTATTGTATTGTATTTATAAATATACGTTAATACAAGTATACAATATTGTAAAGTGTGGTATTTAAGATCCGAAACCTGATCGTGCTATAATGACCATCGTCACGAAAGCGTTTTGTGTCTGACTGCAGGCTTTTCACGCATTTGTCTCGCGGCCATGTTATAGACTTCTTATACCAAACAAGTCTATCGATAATAGGTGTTACGTGATGCCCATTTCATAAAAGTCTGTGATAATAAAAGTAATCTTTATTAAAGTCTCCGCTACAGCGACCGCCGACGAATTTATATCAAAAGTCATCATACAGTAGGAATATTGATTGATTTTTTTAACACCTATAATTAAATCAAAAACTAAAAATTAATTTTTTTATCGCAATAAAAATAAAAATTACTTTATAATTTTTGAATTTGGACGTAATTTATCTAAGCTTCGAGTCACAAATAAATATGAAGGAAACTGGAAAATATCTTTATGTAACATAATACATAAGTAAATCATAAATACTATAAAATGCCACTTAAAGTAAACACGTATTTCTAATGCGTATTTAAGTATTGCATAAAAGCATGGTTTAAACTTTAAGTACATATACATTCAGTTAAAATTTTAAACGAAAGTAATAAGTTATTTATTATATAATTGAAATATTATAAATTGACTTGATGTTTTTTAATTCTATTATCTATTTTTTTTTTTTTTTTTAACTGGTTAATAAATATATTTTATATGTCGTTATTGCTTGTTTCGAACAATAAGGTAAATTTATGATTACGGCCACCTGTTTTTGCTATAAGACTAGCGCACTTGACTGCAGCCTATATTATAACGGATAACTGCCCACCTTTAATATCGTTGGAACGAACATCAATAAATCAGTTACATACGCAATGCGTATATATGACCACACAGGCGTAAATCATGTTTTTTATCATTGCGCACTAAATTGCATCGGTCGGGGTGGTTCGCCGCGGCAGGTGAATATTGCGTGCTTTTACAATAATAATGCAATAAGCAGGTACCTACCAGAACGTACACGCTGTTGGGTGCGATCGAATTCTAATGCGCGGCGGGTTGAATTGCAATTATTATTATAATGCAATATTTGTGACACCTCCGTTTGAATGTAGGCGCGTATAAAATACCCATTTACATGTTTTAATTTATGTGTTTTTATAATGTCTATAATATGCTAATTAATAATATCGATCAATCGTTAATCACAGTTCGGTATGAAAGAAAACAACCGAATACGCCGTATACGCCGCATTGGCAAATCCGCCAGATCAAAGATATATTATAGATATTATATAATGTTCGCGTGACAGTAGACTCATAGTATAATATAACTAATATAAGTATATACGTACTCGTATGTAGACACATTTAAAAATTATTTGCGAAAACGAATCCGCGTGAATACCGCGAGCCTACCTACAGCTGTATAAAGTTAATTAACTATAACTACCTATTTAACCTGTTATACGACTCCTTCGAATCAGTTTTATTCGTCCCGAGCCCAATCGTATTATTTTAATAAAATAATTTTAAAACACATTGGCATGGTTCGTACGTCCATCAGATGTGTACGTAAAACATGTTATTGATGATGTCTGCACGGATATTTGCGATGTCTCACGTATATACATATACACACACAAGATACTGTGAAGTATGCACTGATTGGTATGATATTCGCTATAACGAATATCGGGTTTAATATAATAATAATGGAATAATATCGCTGTATCATTCCATATAATAAAGAGTACGAATCGTACAGATTTTTTATATATAGTTTTGATGTTAGATCAATTGTTCGACTTCAAGACTTCAAGCTAAAATAATAAACTTTCTGCAGGTGTGATCAAATATTTTATATTCGTACAACAATAATAAATTGTTATTGTTGCACAGAGATGTCTATACTTTTTTTTTTTATCGCCATAATATAGTATAAAGTTTAATGTTAAGCAATCAAAAGAGTAGTGCGTAACTATATTGCTAAACGGAATATCTTATTTATCAAAGAGTTGTGCTAATTAGTAATCTCTTACTATATTGTGTATGATAACATATTTGTAATTGTTACACATCAATTTCATCCTGTTAGAAATATATTCAATAATTAAGAACAACAATTTTTTTTATATTATTATGTATAGAAATGATTTTAACGAAAATTCCATGGCATTGAACTTATTTTAGGAATACAATAATGCACACCTACTTCATCTTCGTTAAAAAAAAAAAAAAAAAATCATAAATTAACCAACAAAATATAAGTAACATAATAGTGATGAAATCTTAAAAACGCTTATTTTTAAAGCGGTCTAATCGTCTAAATAAAACATAAAATGTAATGTAAAAAAATATTTTGAATAATCAGAAAATTGTCTACACCAGTCGACATTTAGGTACCGTTACATGGTTATTTTATTTTGGTATGAGTAATAGAGAATTGTTTAAATTTCTATTGATATTTTTTTTCTTTTGATTAAAAACATTATATTTTTATAGCATTGCTGAAGAACATTAAATCCAAATTATCTAGTAAATAAGTATAATTTATTGTTTTTAATAGATAAGATATATACGATTACCTTTTTTTGTTTATAGGTAATTTCATATATTAATTAATATGTTTTACTTTTAACTGTATGAAAAAAAAGATTAAACTTTACTGACTAAACATATCAATATTATAATAACAACCAATAATTAGGGTATATATTTCAAAATTATAATCTTGGTTAATATATACTTAGAATACTACAATATTTAACATCTACTATAGTAATTTACATTCCACTTTTAAACATAAAATATATTTTTATTACGATCAAGAATTGTTTGAGTAACTATATTTTAACATTTACCTGTATTGACTGTATAATGTTATACCAACCTAAACAACTCATAATTTTATTCAATTTAATTCAATTTTTAATTATAAGTAAAGTATGTATTAGTTTTATAATCTTTTTTCTTCCATGTTTTAAAACTTCTTTTCTTTGTAGTTATTTTTAAGCATACCTAAATAGTATGAATAATATTTAATAACTGATTTTTTTTCTTTTTAATTGATTACATATAAGCATGACGTACAACTATAGCAGTAAATCACTGATCGAAAAGTTTTCTTAAATTGAGACAAGTGTAATTTTCCTTATTTTTTTAATTATGACTCATAAGTTCTTATTTAATTATAGAAGATTAATAAAAATTATTTTTAAAATGCATTTTATCGATGTATTTTTGTACAACATAATATCGAAATAAATTTTTTTTTTATAAATTTTGAATAACTAAAATATTATTATATTGGAATATATTTTCCAGATTCATTGAGAAAGATGACGGTGATTTTACAGAATGCAGCAGTTGTTCCAGGTCACTTGCGGAATCATTATCGGACTTTCGGGCCAGGACCAGGACTCACTATTGGCGCAACAAACTCCAGTTCATCTTAGCGTGCCTGGGCTGTTCAGTGGGCCTGGGTAATATGTGGCGGTTTCCATATCACTGCCACAAAAGTGGTGGAGGTAAGTCGATTTTATCAACTATAATTTACGATTTATACCAGGAAACTTAAAATTAAAATTACTGACATTTTATCGTGAAACGATTGCCACTAAAGGTTTAATAGGAAGAAGCCAATTTATCATAAGCCAAGGGAGCCATTAATTCATGTTGGCGGGAACTTCACTATTGCTGTTTTATTGTTTTAAATTTACATCTGAATTAAATGGCAATGTCGACAATATTTATACGAAAAAAAAAAAACAAACATAACAAAAGACTTGTTGTATTGATGAATTAAATCAAAGAAATATTTAAAGTTACTTAAACGAATTATAATGGAGGCATTAATAATTGAATGTAGAGAAAATTTAAATGTTTTAAATCGAGAAAGGAAATACTTTTTTTTTGTATACAAAATTGCTTCTAGTTGGTATTTTAATTTAATTTTAATCATACATTTTATAGACACGTGTGACATGTTATAAAACAATAAAGCATACAATTTTCTTAAGGATTTAAGCATTTGTAATATTATTATAATTATTACACATTAACGATTGTTTATAGGTATATTTTTGATACCATATTTTTTGGTGATGACATTTTGTGGAATACCATTGCTGTACTTAGAATTAGCTATTGGACAGTTTACTAAACGAGGACCAATTAGTGCAATATCAAAACTGTGTCCAATTTTGAAAGGCAAGTAAATTATCTTTATTATTTGATTATGTTGTATGTACCTATATATTGTGCACAATATTTAAATTTTAACAATAATTATTAACGAAATTATAATCACTAATTTTAAATAAATTTTATCTATTTTTGTGTGAAATAAACAACAATGGACTTTGCTCAATTTTTTTCTACTAATGTTTTTATCATAATTGCTTTACTATAATAAGTATAATATAAAAATACCTTCCATGGAACTACTCAATTCCGACATCAGTGCTTTTTAAACATATTATCGTGTAAACATATATTATAATAATTTGTGATGAATTTAATGTGAAATTTTATGAATGAAAATATTTTGTATGACTAAAAGACTAAAACTTGTTTAATAGATAAAACTAAAAGTGAATGTTAACTGTAGTTGAAATAAAGGCCAAATAAAAAATTATTGGTTTAATATTTGTAACTGACCTACTCGTGTTATTCAATAATAAATAGTACATTATACATTTAATATTACATGCTAATAAATATTTCATCATATAATAATTATGTAGGTTCGTTGTATTACCATATTTTTACAGAAAACAATTATACACTAGCATGTGTATGCCTCGAAAAAAGAATTTATTATTATTATTTATTTATTTTTTTTTTTTTAGCTAAAATAATACATCTTAGTTTGGTTTACATTAGCAACTAGCATTCGTATTCATTTTCGTGAGTCGTGACTCCATCAATACATTTTCGGTTAAACCCATGTTAAACCTAAACTTAAAGATGAACAAATAATAATTTATGTTTTCATGTTAAGATTAGGAACTTAAAAATTTGTATTGATTCCCATTAAATATTCTTGTATAGTACCTTATTTAAATTTACTTACGCTTATTCTACTGAAAATGGGGGATAAATTATTAATATCTATTTATATTTTAGAAGCAGGTATGAATAAGCACAAACACGATAATGTCCTGCATGTAACTATATACGAGTACACGCACTTATTACTATTGACATATTTTCATAGTATTATGATAAATTATTTATTTTATATGTTTTCTAGTAAAAAAAAATTAAACGTGTATATAAAAAAAGTTTATCGGTCAGCTAATTTAACTTTCGAGTATAAATATATACATAAATCACATAGAATTTTCAATTTTCAAAGAAGTTAACTCGTGGACTATCTTTTAATCAAAGAAGTGTATACAGAAAAACATTATAAATACCAATACTATGTATTTCCATGTAGTACAATTTATTTTTTAGTATATAAATTCAGTTTTTCAAAATATAATCAAATAAACGTACGCTATATTGCGATAATAAATACAAATCGCTAATGTCTCATCCGTCATACAGTTATAGTGTCAACTGGCGATGACTAACGTGTATTATAATTTATATTTCGATTTCTGATTTCCGTCTTTTATAGGCGTTGGTTTATCCAGTGTGGTGACGTCGTTCTTCGTATCCGTGTATTACAACGTAATCATCGTTTACACTTTGTATTATTTCTTCTCGGCAATCCAGTACCAGCCGCCATGGGTGCACTGCAACAATCGGTGGAACACTTACCAATGCTGGACACCAGGCCATAACACCACAAGGCCTTTAAACGGCAGAAGTCCCACCGAAGAGTTTTACAAGTACTTGTAAAACTTAATATAATTATAGGAATAACATTAAAAAAAAAAATACGTATTGGATAGAATAAAAGTTATTGCATACCTGTTAGGTGTAATATGAATTATGATTGATACTTAACACCATGCACAGTCGAACACTAGAACCGCAAGTAATTATAATTTATTACACTTCACCATATTGCAATCATATTTACATATTATATGATACAACATTATGACGTGTAATAATACAATAAGTGTCAAAAAAAATATACATAAAGCATCAATACCTCATAGTAATTATAATAAAATGTGTATTGCATTAAATATAACAATATTTATATAATAAAATTATATCCACGTGTACGTTTCATATTATATTTGTATGTACCGAGATGTTAACTGTTGAAAATCATATTTTAATTATTGTTAGCTATACCTCGCAAGATTATTATAATACCATTCAAGCAGTTCAAATGATTTTTGTTGAATTTGGCAAAAAATCATGTGATTACCTGATAATTTATTATTAATAATCATAGTTAGATAGTGCTGTGAAGGGGGGGACGGCATATAATGACTCAACGCGTACCTCGTGCCGTCCATGATGTAGCTAATTGATCATATGAAAAGTTAAAAAAAACCCTGTTATAGATTAATCATAAACTCATTCATTAATCATCGATATACTAACGAAAACTATGACTGTGAAAAATAATTGCCAGTATTTCGATTTGATTATGATACATTCGCGAGATCATGTAATAATCGCCGTAATCATTTTACTTCCTACTCTATTCATGGCGACCATGAATATTATTATTGTTTATATTATATTATTATTATAATGAATTCTATCTAAGTTTCTAAACAATAATTATTGTAAAATGTGTAGTAGTACTATGTTTTTAGTTTTGATTGTGTACCATGTACCTACCAACCACCTATACAAATGTTATTGTATTTTTTACCAATTTTGAGATTGTGCAACATACATCTGATTTAATAGAGAGTTGCGTTTTTTGAATGATTAAAGGTGTGATATACATAAATAAAATTACGTAATTTCAAAACTTATACTTATATCTCGGATAACCTCAGGGAGCATTAACCCTCTCTGGAACTAAACGATGTGAAATAACTACCTGCAATTATAGCGTCGTCTGTAGATTTCCAACAAAAAGCTGATTTATGCAGGTACTTTGGGTATTGTCTTATCTTTAATATTTTTTATTGTATCATACAGCTTGAAAATGCTGCAGATCGCAAAGGACCCAAACACGTTAGGCAACGTTCGCTGGGAATTGGCCGCGTGCATGTTTGTCATATCCATCGTCGTGTACTTCAAGCTATGGAAGAGCACCGAATCGTCAGGCCGCGTCTTACACCTGACCGCTACTCTGCCGTTCGCTATGTTGGCCGTGCTTTTGGTCCGGTCACTGATGCTGGACGGCGCTGAAATCGGTCTCGAATACTTCCTGTTCAAACTCCGCTGGGAGCTACTGTTAGACTCGAAGGTTAGATAATGTTGAACACGCTGGTCACGCTACAGTATAGGGTGATACTTTTAAAAGTACCTATAAACACACATAACATCAAAGAGTATTGATTATTTACCTATAATAATACTTTTTTTGCATAATATAAATCCAATATTAAACAAGAAAAGAAAATAATTTTGTTTTTAAATAAATGATAAAAGTTCTTAGAAAAATATCCTGCTTTGGGATATGAATAGTATGCAATATATTTTTTTTATTTAATCAATCTGTACTCTTTTATTTCTCGGAACAATTATTTTTTAAATAATTTGAAAAAATGTTTGTGTAAAAAAGAAATTTACGGTTACTGTGTAATCTCTATGTAAAATAATGCCGTGAATATATTTTATGATTTTTGAGAATCATTGAGATTTTGTATTACACGAAAAAATAAATGGCTTTGAGTGGGATAATTCAGCTTTAACTTTAAGAGTCTCTCTGCTAAAAGTGTTGTAAATATACGAATACAAACAACTGATATGACATTAAAAATGTACGTTATAATATAAAAAAGTAAAAAAAAATTTAAAAGAAAATAACAATAAAAATATAAAAAATACAACTATCCCTAAAAAATGTCTTTTTGTAAAAATTATTTTGAATTGTGTAAAAAGTGTTTTCAAAAAATTGTTTATTACATAATTGGCTGCAAAATACGGCGAGATATTATTCTGTGATTTTAGTAGTTATTACGTATTATAGTAACGTTATGACGGCGAATAAGTTCGGAAGGTAGCTAAAAAAATCCGATCACAGTATAAAATCATTGAACGCAACATTTTCTGCTCGTCATAATAACATAAGCCATTATAATATATATATTGGTTTAAACCGAATTCTCCCCAGCTCATTCTACTACAATTCATCTCGCGTATTTATTACGTGTAATACCCTGCTTATTAATTTTTCTTTCCATTATCAATATCTAAACGTTATTTTCACCGTAGAAAGCGAACAAAATAGCAGAATAAAAAGTATTACCTGCAATGGTATAGATAACCTACCTTCTTATATGTATACGTGCAGACACTCATGGTATTATGTACTCACGTCATTCCACCTCGCGCAGTCAGACGGCTGCAAGGTCATAAAATCATAATGGTTATTATTCTAATATTTATAATTGTAATTTATAAATATAAATAATGGAACTGTGACGCGAAAAAAATTGTTTTCACCCGCTAAACCCATTCGATGAACTTAAAAACTGTCCGTCGTCGACAACGACAGTTCTTTCCTCATTGATTTCAAGAAATCATAGATTCTTTCAATAATTGTCGAGTGTATTAACATTTACTTAGGTAGACAATCGGCATTCGGGGTTAAATTTATCGAATGCGTCAAACACGCTTTTATTATTATGTTTATCATCACAATAGACGTCAATCATAATTCGTTTTATTATTCAGCCCGTAAAATATTGTTACTCACATCAAATTGTCATTTACGAATGTCCGTAATTTTTGGTTACGTATACAGAAATTAGATACAGGTATAAAGTTTGTCAAGTAGATTACTCTTTTAAAGGCGTTGTTAGGTAAATCATTAGTAAATATTTTTTTTAAATAAAAAGTTAAACAACTTCCAAGCTATTACAACAACAACAGCATAAAATTACGACCGTGACAAGACAAATTAAACAACTATATAGATATTAAAAAACCGTATGTTTTTTTTTTTAAACATTAACAAAAAAAATATTTAAAAACTCTGATTGCCGTAAAATATACCCGAATAATTGAAAAATATTTATTGTACATATAAAAGTTTATAAACCTTCTAAACTAAAATAATTAAGTGTATTGTAAAACTCAAATAAATTTAAAGTGCTGTATTATTTTACTCATGAGAATATTGATAGATAAATGTTCAAGAACAAAACTTTATATAATCGATGTTTGTTATCTAATGAACGTTACATATACATGTTTGATGTTTTGATTTAAGTACATGTGTAAACATTAACTATTTTGCATCAAATAATGACCTTAAAATTTAGACGTCCATGATAAGACCTGAGTAAATAATTTATAAGTTATTATTATTAATCCAAATGCGCGACAAATAAAATAAATGATATTATATTTATACCAGCGATTTAATAAGCAATTAAAAATTAGACTAGATAACCTGGTATCCCTGGTATTAAACATGTATATGATTATTATGCCTATCCGGTAATACTATTATACTAATATACTGGTAGACAAGACATCCTTGAAACTTGAGATGTTTACAGTTTATCATATCTAGATTAAAGTAATATCTATAGGTAATAATATATTTTATGAGAATTTAAGATATAGAACCACTTTAAAAAAAATCAATTTAAAAATATCATAATTTCAATTAATTTTTGTTAACATTGTATACATAAAATTAAAACTACTTTTCATTAACCTTAATATCTTAATTTTACAATATAATACTCGTATACATAAGCAACACAGCACACATATATGAATATTATTTTGTGTATAATATATTATATATACAAGTATGTTATACAACCATAAAGAAAATTGGCATATATACATAATATTAGAATTAATATTTTTATGAGGTAAATATATATATATATCTAATAGCATTTTGATTAAAGTAATTTTATAAGAAATTTACTATAAAGAGAAAAACATATTAAAGATTTCTAATAGACATTTTAAACTATTTAAAAAAATATATTTTATAATTTCAATTGCATACTTTTTATAAATTCTCATCGGTATATGTTAAAAAATAACTTGAACTTAGTTTAAAAACAAATTAATTTATAAATTACCATACGTAATAAATTATCATAAACAACTGAATAAATAAATAACAACTGCACATCTTTAAAACTTTTATGTGCTTAAATATATATATTTAAATTTCCAAGGACTTATACCTTTCAGTCAAACTTTGTTTAAAAGTATTTACATTTATTGTACAGTTTTAAGGTTTCGTAAAATTTACATATTTTAACGTGACATTTAAGCAAAATATTTTCTATTCGACGTACAAGCTATATAATGATTTTTTTTTATTAAATACGTGTTATTTTTAAGTAAATTTAACATTGGTATTATAAAGTTCTTATTCTTCTAAATTTACAACTTTAAAAATTTATTGTGATTTAACTGATAATCGTTTTTTATTGCCTTATTTATTTTAACGTATTGTACATTACCTATAAAGTATAAACGGCATAAACATTAACTTTTATCGATAATTTTAAATATTTCGAAATCGTAATAAAAAATGTAACCTTATGATTTGTATTACACAATAGTGACTATACAATTATTCATATGCATATACTACTTACCAAGAAGTACTTAATTTAATATAAGGAAATTAATATTTACTTGGGTAATGTTAATACTAAAATCATAGTTTTCTTTAAATACATATCAATAATCTATTTAAATAATCCATAAATAATATGTTTTAAACATATTATATATGACATATACCAATAGAAAACTCGATATTTTCATGTCTACTGCTCAGAACAGAGTTATAAATTCTGTTATATTATTATTTTGGTCTTATTCTAAAATTTACGTCAAAAATAATATTATATTCCCATGTAATTTAAACAATTTTAACAGTTTGATTTATTAAAATTTTAAATTTATGACTAAAATATATTTTATACTTTTTAGGTTTGGGTAAGCGCTGTTGGTCAAAACCTAAGCTCCATTGGTATCGCTTTCGGTCTGGTTATTTCGTTCTCTTCGTACAACCGTTACAACAACAATATAATGGTGGACACAGTGACCATATCACTCATAAACGGCTTGTCGAGTTTTGCCGTGGGACTATTCACGTTCGCTACTTTAGGTAGCATGGCCAAGGAATACGGAAAGCCCGTGGAAGAAGTACTACCGGACGGTAAATAATATTAAAATAATAAAATTAATAATAACTAATTACCTTTTTAAAAACGCGCCAGTTGTGAGCTTCTAAGCGCATAAAAATAAACTTACTTGAAAAAACATTTCAACATAAAAATGCAAAAATATTTAAAAACACAAAAATTTGTTTAATCGTAAAACATTATTTCAAGAATATAAATGGCTATTAAAATAAAAACTTATTTTTTAACTACGTGTCAATAGTGTCAAAAATACTTATCTTATAGTTTAACAAGTTTAATTTAATTATTTAACAATCAATTTTATAATAAGTGATTAAAACAAATAATGATAGTTTATTATAAGTTTATTTCATTTCATTATGTATTGTATTACGCAGGTCCAGGAATCGTTTTCATCCTGTTCACGAAAGTACTATCCAGTATGCCGTACTCGACCTACTTTTCAATGTTACTGTTTTTCATGATGTTTTGTCTGGCCCTGAACAGCGAGGTAATTTAACGTAATATTATCCATACCGATGTCGTGTTCGCCTGAATCTCGTCGCATGTATCTAAATATAAAATTCTTGTAGAATGGGTAATTTCCGTCAAAACATCTGCAAGAGTAATACAATCCCATTGACGATTTTGGTGAACACGAATCTTAATCCCTACCAATCGAGGGGTTACGAAAAACCCACATTTAAATTAAGACTTAAGAAGAAAGAGTTTTGGGTGAAAACTTACACTTAGATCACTTTTAAAATCGTTAAGTACCTTAAATAACTAGATTACACTTAAACTTGTAATTTGTGAACTATAACAATAAATTGAGTTCTATTTTGATAAATAATATACGAATAGTTTGTCTCTCACCCCTCAAAATTTTAACTTTTGGATACTCTTGCCAATATACTATTTGAATGGATAAGTTCAACTTGCAAATATATTTTATTGTACAGTATTAGATATTTTAAAGACTTCAATACATGTGATTATGAAGGTCTTAAGGAATATTACGATGAACGCTAATATTTATATGAACATGTAATAGAATATTATTATTTTCATTTCAGTTCGCCATCGTCGAAGTCATCGTGACTTCTATACAAGATGGATTTCCACGAGCTGTCAAAAAATATCTTATTTGCCACGAAATATTGGTCTTGGTGGTCTGTTCTGCGTCGTTTTTACTCGGACTCCCACTTGTCACACAGGTGTGAAAAGCGTCATTTTTTTTTAAACTATTTACGTGTGTTTGTAGTGTAATAACACAGCAAACTTGCTATGCAAACACAACCAACTGAATTTTATTGATTATTTCGTCGATTTGCTTTACTTGTTCACAGGGCGGTACATATTTATTCCAAATAATTGATTATTATACTTCTACGTGGTCAGTGATTTACATTGCTTTTTTCGAAGTGATCGCAGTGTCCTGGATGTATGGTGGTAATAAAATGGCAACAGATATCAAAAGAATTACGGGAACAAAACCGCTATGGTTTTTTAAATTCTGTTGGTACATTACGACTCCTTTTTTACTAATGGTAAATTATATTTATATAATAATCATGTTGCCTAGTATTCTTATGGTCTTATAAGTTATAAGTCACCACAAGCTGACAATCTTCTTCATAAAAAACTAAAAGAATAATTTTCCATTTATTCCATTCTGATAATACATCAAAGTCAAAAATAAGAATTACATAATATTATACCTTAACCTTTAAATAAATATCGATAAAATAATAGCTACCTAGATGTTTTCCTTTGCGTCTAAATTACATATGACATGTACCCCTTACGAACACAGTTTCAAATCTGTGTACAACAATTTGATTTATTGTTTGTTTTTTCTTGTTTTATTAGTTTGTATGGGCTTTCAGTTTAACAGACTATGAACCACCGACCTATATGAATGGCACTCGAAGTTTTCCCACTTGGGTCCACATAATAGGGTGGTCCATGGTTATGATCTCATTGGCATGTATACCCATCATGTCGGCTTATACGTTCCTACATTCCGAAGGAAAAACATTTTACCAAGTAAGTTGAAAAACAACAAAACTTACAAAACTAATATTAAAATTTATTGAGAACAAAATTGTATGATTTAATTTTATACAACACAGACCTGTAGTTTTTATTATATGTATATCTTTTTAGAAACTGAACAGATCAATAAAGCCCCGATCAAATGAATTTGGTGAGTTGCCAATGGCGTCGAAAGATAACTTAAAAGAAATGGCTACTTTAATTGAATGCAAAGTACCTCAAATACCACCAATTATTGTCTTCCCAGAAACTGTTAAAAATAGTAAATATAATAATTCATGATTGTATACCAACGATTTTTGTTGACAATTATACTCTAAACTTTTTAACAAATAACGATTTAAAAATAATTTTAATTTTAATATACTGTCACTGTAACACACCACACACCATCTATTATAATGCGATACACTCAACAGGTACAATTCAAATACATGCTTAACTGAAAATTTGTATATTTTATGTTAAATTCAACACCAACATTTTTACTAAATTTATTTTTATTTATTTATTTATTTATTTTTTTTTTTTTTTTTGTGTGTGTTATTGATAATATTATGTGATTATTCTAATTTATTTTGATGCGTATTTTAAATAATTATTAATGATACGAATATTGAAAATATTACCAGAAAATAAAACGAATTTACCATTTCACAGATTAGATTTTTTTTACTTTTATAATACAATTTTGAATTTATTAGGTAATGTAAATCATTCATCGTACACTTTATGTCTACATATCTACGTATATCCGTAGTTTTAGTTACCATACTTGTCTGCTAACTCTACTAACCGTATTGCTACAAAAGTTTAAAGTGGTAAGGTCGAAAATAAATCGAAAAAACGTGTTTCTATTAGTAGCCAGTAGATATATATATATAAAATTGATAAATGTTCATAGTACATACGAGTCTAAAGACTTTAATCAACAAGAATAGATTTAAACGAATTAAACGAAACTCTTGACTACCGAAAGAAAATAGATTAATTTCGTAATCATATTGATTGACGTTGACGATAATTATTATTTAACATACCGTTAATAGTAATTATATGTACAATTGAAGTGTACGCCCATAGTTCTTTAGACGAGTTGATAATATTGTGTATTGGTTGTACGCTTGCACAGTTGCACGTATGTTTATAACTGCGATTCGCCAATCGTCAGTTTCCCGACCTCAGCTGAATGCCGAATAAAGTCAGACTATGACGGCATAAATGGCAATGTCTAAAATAGTACGCAGTAGCATAATAATAATATAATAATATATACCCAAATACTATTAAATATTAATGCGGTATTATCAACATTATTTCTTGATGGTTACCTAACATCGATAAGCCTGGTTGCAATGTTACACAAACAATAATTATACATACAAATTTATAATCAATCAATAAAAAATTACGATGATCCCTTAAAAGGGGTTAATAAAATATCAATGTGACTTGACAAACTTATTTTCAAGAGTACATTAGATATATTTATTTTTAAAATTCTCAATATCACAACCGTAGATAATATATTATCTATGATCACAACAATGCTCGGTCATGTGATAACATTAATTTTGCTTTTAAGATAAAATTTTCAGAATTTGATTTTTTACCCGAAACCAGAAGTCAATCTATTGTTGTTTTTTTTTTTTTTATAATTAGAAGTTTATTCTCAAAACTTAAATGTAATAGTTTATTGTAATAATTAGTTTAATAATAGTTTATTGCTTTTTTTATAAAGTTACTGAAATAGAAAAATCACATATTTTTATGTTATAATATAATATCTGTTAATTGAATATTACCAGAATAAAGTTGTAGTAAAATTACAACACTTAAATTCATTATAGCCAACAATAAATAGATATAAGTAAAATATTTACAAATACAAATATAGTTTATGAGTATATAATACAAAATATACATATAATTAGATGTAATTTATAAATTAGATATGTAAAAGAAAATTAATTTTTATCCTTTGATAACAGCAATTGGTCTTAACTTCACAGTCTTTTTACTAATTCCTGCTTCATGGCAAGTGTCTACCACATCAGTGACATTTTTATAGGACTCAGGTGCTTCTTCCATTACCAATTTTGGTGAAGCTACTCGAATGGCAATCCCTTGTTGCTGCAACTTTTCTAGTACATCATTATAGTCTATATTTCTACGAGATTTAGCTCTCGACAATGCACGTCCCTGGAAAAACAAAAATGTCAACAATTATGTTAAAAATAAACAAATAAACAAAATTGAACAAAAAAATAACTTACAGCACCGTGACAGGTAGACCCAAATGTTTCATTCATACCCTGTTCAGTTCCAGTCAATACATATGAACAGGTACCCATTGTTCCACCAATCAATACTGGTTGACCAGTTAGTTGGTAGTCAACGGGAATAAGAGGATGATAAGGCGGAAAAGCTCTTGTCGATCCCTAAAATAATAAAATTTAATAATGACTAAACCTTATTAAAATACAATAACTTATATCTTATATGAACTCATGTTCTAAATACCTTTCTATGCACCAATAAATGTTTAGGTTTTCCATCAACATAGTGTTGTTCCATTTTTGCAATATTATGAGACACATCATATATAACATGCATGTCTAAATCATCTGGTGTCAATTTGAACTGTTTTGCAAAAGCCTATAAAAAAAATAATAATACCAATTAATTATTTATGAATAAATTTCTAATTATTTTGTTGTTATACTCACTTGACGAGCTAAAAATGTCATTGAACTTCGATTCACCCATGCAAAATTTGCAGCAGCTGACATAGCTTTCAAATAATTTTGACCTTCGTTGGATTTAATACGAGCACAAGCTAATTGTCTGTCATTGACTTCAATTTGATCCCGTTTCATAGCCTTTTCCATTTCCAGTAAAGCATCTAAGTAAAAAAAAAAGTCTTTAACACATTTATCTTTCTGTAAAATTATACTACTTGATTAATTTTTATAAATTAAAAATATAATACTTAAGTGTAATTATTAGTCAATCATAATTTATGATTTATAATCTCTATACAAATAACAATAAATAATAAATATCACTTATACTTTTAGATACACTAAAACCAAATTGAATAATCATTAAAAAATGATCTAAGATAACATTAAACATGCATAAAAAAGTTAAAAAATGCATTCCAAAATGTTTGTATAATGTCTAAATAAAAAATTATGAATTGTATTACTAACATCATAGTAACCAAGGCTGTATGCTCTTAAATAATTTGAAATTTAAATTATAATTTGTTAACAACTATCAATCAAAATTGTATTTATGTTTTAAAACACTAAATGATTTTATTTTTTCAAAAGAAATAGGGGTTTTCATAAAATCATGAAAAATAAGTCATAAAATACATGATTAACTTACATTATATATCATAATATAATCCACTAATAAAAATATGCAAAAGCTGGGAAATAGCTATAAAAAAAATGTACACGTAGCATCTTAAAAAGATATTAAATAAATACAAATAACCAATGTGTATTTTACAGATTTACAGATATGAATCACAACATATTATTAAGATTTATCTAAGATAAATGCAAGGTAGCTTAGTATTCCAGAAAATTCTCCACTGAGATTTACGTCTACTATCTAAAAATATTGAGTAAGAAAAATGATTATAAAATTCAATTCATAATTTTAATAAACTATTTTTACTGAGTCTAAAATTCAATTTTACCCACATCCCGCATATTATTAATACAATGTTTAAATACCTGTTGCTACTTGATGTCCAAAACCACGACTTCCAGAATGTATCATAACACAAATTTGACCAATATTTTCAATTCCCATTTTTTTTGCTGCCCATTTATCATAAACTTCATCAACTACTTGTATTTCTGCATAGTGATTGCCAGCTCCTAATGTTCCTAACTATAAATAAGCATATACATTTTTAAAAATTCAAAGGAATAATTATTTTAGCATTTAAACTATGCGTTTTTCTAAATTGATAATTTACTTGTGGTAAACCTCGTTTTCTAGCTCTCATGCTAACTTTAGATGAATCTGCATTCAACATTCTACCATTTTCTTCACAATGTTCTTTGTCTTCAGCCCATGCGTAACCTAATGTAAATAAAATTTTCTTTTAAATAATATTCAACATTTTAATTTTTAAGACCTGATATGAACCTTCTCTTAGAGACCAATCCATTCCCATTTCAAGTGCTTCTTCTAAGTCATTTGCATTCATAGGTATGATTCCTTTTGATCCTACACCAACAGGAATGTGATCAAACATACTTTGAGCTAATTGTTCCTAAATAGCATTGAGATAAAATAACATAAAATGATAATATTGTAATGGTGAAATTTAAATTATTAATATAGTATTTACTTTGATAGGCTGGACATCTTTTTCAAACAAATTTGTCCTGAGTAATCGTACACCACAATTAATGTCAAATCCTACACCACCAGGTGAAACAATAGATTGAGGATCATCCATATCAAATGCTGCCATATTTCCTAAAATTAATGCTCAATGACTATTACACTGATACAATACATAAACTTATTACATAAAAGTGAAATCAATATTGATTAATAATTACTAAGCATAATAGTATAATTTGAAAAGCTTACAAGGAACAATTTGAAAATTCAACTGCTAACTTACATATTATTTACTAAAGAAAAAAATCTATTTTAAATCTACCTATAGCAAATCCATAACCAGAGTGAACATCTGGAAGTCCAATAGACTTATGAACAATGCCAGGTAATGCAGCCACATTAGCTATTTGTTTAACACCAGGTAAAAATCCACCAATCATTCCTGGTCGACATGCATTTTGTAACTCTTCCAACATTAGTTTTTCCAAAAATTTATTAACGTAAAACACTCCTTCAACCTAAAAAAACAATTTTTTTCTAATAAAACGAAATCTTTTTAAACAATATCCTTTAACCTACCTTCATATTTGGTTGAAATCCTTTTTTTATTTCCCATTTATATGGAGATTTCTTTTCTAGAAATTCTAGTTCTTCATTATAAGGTCTTACAACCATTTTGATTCAATTTTAGCTAAGTTAGTTTAATTAATATACAAGTGTAGAAAAAATCAAAATATTAATTTAAGAGACTTATTATAATATTAAAAAACTAATAATTTATAACTACACGAGACTTGCTAACGACAAAAATATAAATATTGAAATCGAATAATCTTATCTTTTTCTTCTCTTATCATAGAATAAATATTCTGTGATCTTATAATGATATAATCTTCTTTTCTTCTTATAATCTTTCTTTTTTTTTTTTTTTATAATTTAAAACGAAAACGCGTTTTGCTTTTTTCCACCAGAGTGACCCTGTTTAGCGTTCCGACCAATCGCAAAATTAAATTTTTTTCTTATCAAAGTCGTATCGCCTTTATCACCCGCCGCCGACGGACCGTTATCGTTATCGGTCAACGTTGTTTTATTCTCATCGCCGTTTTTTTTAGATTTGCGCCCGTTTTTCCGGCATTTCGAGGCCTTTTCCCGTCGCGTTTTCGATCCTGTCACGTAGAACGCGTCTTTTGCGAGCTGCGCGCGTGCCGTTCGTAGCCGTAGCGTTCGAAAAACCGGCGTGTTCTTCGGTCGGTTATTGTATTGTCACGTATACTATTTTTTTTTTTTACAATTCAATAAATTATTTATTCTTATTGAATACGTGTTGTTTTGTTTTCAATGTCTGAACACTCGGACACCTCCACGACCTCACAACCTCATCAGTACTGTCTCGATAGCGTATGAAATACAATTATGTGTATTCCAAAAACAGATCGTAAAAGTCTTGCTCTTGAGTCGTTTTTATACTTTTGATCGCGTCTGAGGTCAGTGGTATTAATTGGCTACTGGGAGTTTGTTAAATATAAAACATTTAATAAACATTATCAGAAATCGAGTATAATTTATAGCCTCCGTTAGTCAGTTATCAATTATCATATATATATGTATTAGGGAAAGAAGTATAATTCTACAGGATTTTAGTTGTTACACTTATGTAGTATCGTATATTTGTATGAATACGTTTGTCTTATGAGACGTTGCTATTATACGTTTCGTTTATCATATGAAATCTTATGGATCGTATGAATGTAACACTATTTAAATTTTTGCATAAAATTGGTGTAAATTAATGAATATTACAATAAGTGCATCTAATACACATAATATATCTATAGTACCTATGTTTAAAAACATTTGTGAATACAGAAATGACTTATGAAACGTTGCTATAATGTATTTTTTATATAGTATATATGGTTTTATTTTTATATTACCTACCAAATAAATACTTTATTATTAAGGGGGCTTCAGTGTATCATGTTTTAAGGAGTAATATTTAGACAATTTGTATAACATGAACATTTTGATTATGTCTATGTGTGAGTAGTAGATGAACATTAGTGTGTGTAATTCATTATTAAAAAAATAGTTTTTATGATGCTGCCACCCGCCTATTAACCAAAATACGAATTTCTATAAAAAAAATAGAACTACAATAGTAATTAAAAGAAATAATTATTGTTATGTTTATATATTTATATATGTTGCACTATTCATACACGCATCTGTTTTGATGATATTATAGTAATACATATATATGACAGATTAAATGAAAATAGGTAATATTCAAAAATAATTTTCATGAATCTGACATTAGTGCTGAAACTTGAAAGTGAACTACTGAACTATTCAGAATTCTGAGCTATTCACTACTCAGTACTCAGTCGTAGGCCGTAATCCGCGACGATGTGTGTAACAGTATTGAGTAGGTACAAATGTATAATAGTATTATTATATTGTAGTTGGAATGTCGATTCTCGATACTCGATGCATATTATATTACATATAAAATAAATAACAGAAATAAATCTAATCCAAAACCATGATGTAAAATGAAATTTTAGTTTCTTGCGCCATTTATAAATTAATACCTAATTATAATGGTTTCAGGTTTGATTATAGAATAAGACGAACATTATAAATAAATAATAATATTATGTATAAAAGTAATTTAAAATTAACTCATTTTTATTTTTTATCTGTGTGTTTTATTTTTGGTGCTAACTTCATAGTAGTCGGTGTAAATTTCAAATTCATTATCTACTTATCGATATTAATATTGATAATAGAAGTTGATATTACAATAAACAACATTAATACAATTCAAAATTTGAACTTAATAGTTATATAGTAGTACTGAAGTATTTATTTTTGTTATTAGAATTACACACTGTAATTTGTTATGTTCAAAGTTGTCGCCACTATTTATTTACTTTACACCAAAAAATTATGTTTTTTTAAATTATTTAGTTTATATTTTAACAACTAACAAGTATTTTACTTTTAGCTAATATAATTTTAAATAAAAGTTGGTGCACCATGTTGTGTGGCCAATATTTTTCTTTATGTATCTTAAGTTGCTTATTTTTTCTCAACTCTACAACTGTCTATGGGTTAATAGATCCAATTACAGGAACTTTTGTTGTAGGAGCTTTTGTGACAGGATACTTTTTAAATAAATCAAATTATACATTTCCCGACATACTCCCTATTTTTGGTGGATGTCCTAATACATTTAATATTAAAGGTAAGATCAATTAAAATATAACATTTATTTATATTTTTACAGTAAAAATTAAATTACTACCTACCTATGTGGATTTTAATTTTTTTCTTAAATTTATCAATTTAGCTTTTAGCATATTATGAATACTTCTATTTGTCTTAATATTTTATGTTATCCAGAGTTACCTTGATGATTTTAAAGAAACCTCATTTATAAATAAGCTATTTTAGTGCTTATTGACTTTTTTGATGAATAATCAATTTTGAATTCACTACATTCCGAGATCCTCAATATTTTTTTTAATTTAGGATTGGTTGTTTCAATTCAAAAATTGCTTAAATATTATAATTGTATACATTATTAGCATTTATTTTTGCTTTAAAATACTAAGATTTCATCCCAAAAAAATCTCTTATTTATTATTTAAGTGTATTTAGTTAATAAGTTTTATATTTATATTATAATTTTACATTAATCCTTAAACAGAATTAGAACATTCCATGGAAAAAAGTTTTTTTGGGCAACATATAGCATCAAAAATAGTATTATCTGCTTTGGCAGGTAATTTATATCGTAGCAAAAATAACAAAAAACCATTAGTAATGTGTTTTCAAGGTTGGACTGGTTCTGGTAAAAATTTTTTATCAGAGGTAATTGCTAATCATATGTTCACTACGCCAAAAATAAAATCATTACGATATCATATTATTCTTGGACAATCGGATTTTGTTCACCATTCCAAAATTAATTATTATAAGGTAATTATTTTCTTTAAGTAATATATTCTTAATGTGTTTGTAACTAAAATAGTAGCAATCTACATTTTTTATGAACATTAAAATGTAAACTTTTGAAATAGGATTCTATATTTAATATTCATTCTTATCTAATATTCAAATATGTTTACTTAATATTTTTTAAAATTTCAGGAAAAACTTTATCATGATGTGAAATCCGCAATAAAATCATGTGGTACAAATGTATTCGTTTTTGATGAAGTGCATTTTATACCTATGGGTATATTAGACATACTAATACCTATTCTTGAAAATAATGATGCGTCTATTGATTCTAGGTAATGTAATAACTAATTCTGATATTTGTTCTAATTCTATAGATAAATTTAAAAAATTAAGATTTTGGGGGAAATTGTATAGCATTGGGGAATATATTGTTATAAAACAAATCACTGACAATTTTTTTTTAATTTCTAAACTATTAAATTCATAAAGTACCTAAAATACATATAGTTCATATAATTTAACATAAAATATTAAATTAATAGATACATTAAAAACTTGAGACACTGATTAAAAGATAAAAATCTTCTATTATGTTAAGTCTGCGAGAAAATGAAAACAATAAAATTAAATGAAAAATAAATTAAATAAATAATTGTTTTATTTTATTAATATTACAGGAATTCAATTTTTATATTTTTAACTAATGCAGGCGCTGATGCTATTGTGACTAAGTATTTAGATCTTTGGATTAATGGAATTTCAAGAGAGTCCATGAAAATTCAAGATTTTGATATTCTTTTACAAAAATCTGCTTTCAATGAAAAAGGTAAAACTTAAATTAATCATTATTTACGATAGTTAAAGCTTAATTACATTTATAAATTTCAATTAAAATAAATATATTTATTTAAAGTGTTCTAATTGTGTATTGCAGATTAAATTGTAGGCCTTAAGTAAAATTTATTTATAATAATAAAGAAAAGACAATTAAACAATTATTAAATATGTAGAAATATACTGTAAAGCCAAATTATTGATTATATAATAAACACATACATAAATATTTTTATTTTCAAATTATAAATGTTATTATTGTTATTGGTATTACAATGATGTGTTATTTTAGTTTTGTGTCTGTCATTACCTTATGAGATAGTAAAAATACTACGGTTTTCAACTTAGAGAGTTGTTTTTGGTAGCAAATTCTTGTATTTTTAAAATATTTAAAAAAAACTAGAATTTTCTAAATGTATTAACTCCTTTTGTGTTATTTATAGACATTAGGAATTTTTAATTTTGTAAATTAACACCGGTTGAAAACCACTGGTCTATTCTATGCTGTAGCTTATAGATACTATGATAACAAAATATATTTTGTAATCTTAGCTGATACTATCACTGAGAATTGTGGAATAAATCATGTACAATTTATAAGATGATTCTTTTATTAACTAACACTTATTATTTCAACATTTGTCAATGTTTTTGAAAATACTTTTTTTTCATATTTTTCAATCAAAATAAAACAATGTTTTTTATATTAAAATGTTTTAACTTTTTTGAATAGCAGCATGCATTTTTAATTTTGTTCTCCAAAGTAGAATATTTTATGTAGTATTTCATTACTAGGGCTCGGAAGTTGATGCATTTTGCATTTTTTTTGGAACTTTTTAGACGATGCTCTCCTGGCCACAAATTTGTTTCATAAGCATGTGAATCTAAATAACTAATTTTTATTTTGCATTTTTTTGCATTTTTTGCTGTTTATTCTATTTCTCCGTCTTACACAGTAAATTTTCGTCCACCAGTTTCAATAGTGTGCTTTTAGTTTTGAGATTAGAGTGAATAATTGACCTATAATCAAACTTTTAGTGAAAATCATTATCTGTGCTCTCTCGTTGGTTTTTACTATATTTTAATTTTTAGCGAGTTATAAGCATTTTCAAGTATTTAGATTTTTCATACTCATAACTCACTTAAAAATTTAAATATTGTAAAAAACCAATGAGAGAACACAGATAATTTTTCTTAAATAAAAGTTCGATAATAGGTCAATTCACTATAATACCAAAGCTAAAAGCACTATTGAAACTGGTAAACAAAAATTTACTATACTGTATATGTGTGTACGACGGAAACAACACATGTGGGTGTAACGTCCTCTTAAAATCAAAATTTAGACAAATACCTTACGAGTTATAATCTAGTAAAAAGTTGGTCTATTATTTCATTAAACTAAACTTTAAATACTTTTAATTCATAAATTATTTGTTCTGAATTTTGATTTTTTTGTATTGAAATATACTCTGAAAAATATTCTATCTCAGAATATGATATTAAAAATATATTTTATCTTTTGTAAAAATAAAAAATACTATATTATTTTAACTTGAAATTATGTAAAACATTGTTTCCAAAAACATTAATAGATTTTGAAATAATGAGCATTGTTTAATAAAAGAATTACTCAGTATAATAAATATTAAATAATAAATAAATTTATCATTGAATTCAAATTTAACACATTCATTATAGTAATTTATCTCAATGACAACTGACAAGTTATACTCAACATTGTAAAATGATTACCTGCTTTCCCTTTGTTTTGGAATTGAATGATAAATGTTTTAAGACTTAATTTAAAATAAAATAAATGTTTTTAAAAGTTTTAGAGATAATTTTATAGATATATATTTAAATGATTAATTATATTAATATATATCATTTTAATAGGAGGGTTGATGAAAAGTGGAATAATAGATTCTCATATTATTGATCATTATGTTCCATTTTTACCACTTGAAAAAGTTCATGTAGTAAAATGTATTGAGGCAGAATTTAAAAACTTGAACAAACATCTGGATTCCAAAACAAAAAGGTAATATAATTATTATTAATCAGTGATAATAAATTGTAATCTATCATTTATTTGTCTATATTTTTAACAACATTATATTGATTTAATAAACTAAAAGCCACAGGCTAATGTATAAATATTTAAAAATATTATAATTACATAATATAGTTCATACATTTATACATATTTTATCTATATATAGTATGTATAAATCACTATGTTTAAAAAAATTTCTCTAAATTAAAAAATTAGGAAGAGCACATTATTTTTATTATATATTTAAATATTTTAATGTTCCGTGAACTCAAACAATTATTGATTAACATAAATACACAAATAGGGGCTAAACTATGAAAGTTAAAAATATAAACATTATAAGTATTGGTTACTACTTGCTTTGAAACTTATATTTTCTTATATTTTCCTATATTTTATTATAAATAAATTTATTTAATATAATTTTTATATACTTAACTATACTTATTAATTATATACCATATACAATCATTAATATTGAAATTTCTCAACATAAATATACTATTTTTAAATTATAAAAATGCTTAATAATAATTAATGACACAGTTTTTTTTTTTACAATATGACTAAAAAAGTAAAAAAATATATTTATAAGCGTTTGGTATGTTAAAACATTTTAAATTGTGAACACAACTTTAATATATATTTTATTTTTACAAAATTATAAATATTTATTTAAATATATTTCTTATAGGCTCTAGCACATAAAATAAAATATTGTTCATTACCAGCTTAATAAATTTAAATATCAATGATGAATTTTAAATTTATTAAATTGATGTGAAATTATTAATGTATATAATATAACATTTTTGAGATTCATTAAAGAAAAAATATACATAACTATGTATAGCATTGATTATTTGTAAAATTTAATTAATATACTACGCACTTTTTTTCAGTGAAATATTGCAGATGATTCCGTTTGGTCCCGAGCCTCATAACTTATTTTCTTCTTCTGGTTGTAAAAGAATTAATCAATTTGTTGCATCCCAATCAAATTTTAATTTGGTTTGATATTTTTAAAGTATACTGTGAGTGTTCTTGTACATACACTTTTGGAAAAAAACCAATCTGAAAATAAATTATGAAATATATATTTTTAAATGTTTTGTAATCATTGAAAAGTTTTATTATTACTTTATCTCCTATTTGTCCTTTCCACCATCCTTTTTGATCTCCTTCTTTGCTCAAAATTTTTAATGTACATCCTTCTTTTAATGGTAACTGGTTTGATTCAGTGGGAGAAAAATTATACTTAGCTATGGCAAGTATTCGACAAAATGGCCATTTTAATTTTATGTCCAATCTATTTAATCAACAGTTAAGTAGAATTATTAAAAATATATTATTTTTCAATTAAATTGACATACCCAGTAAAATTTTCACTCAAACTATTACGTTCATAAAAACTAACTAATTCAACAAGGTTGGGGAAAAACCGTTTTTCTGATAAATAAAAACTGCTAATTCCATCTTCTAATCTTTCACATATTTTCATATGCTTTACTTGGTTATTTGATCTAAATATTAATTACATATATTACATAAAGTATACTTATAATTTTAATGAGTAATTGTAAAATAGTATACTTTAAACTTAATGCATAAACAGTTTCTACTGGTCTAGTAGGTCCTTGTGGTCGTATTCGTACTAAATAGGTACCACCAGATTCACTTTCCAATAGATTTGTTGCTCGATCTCTATCCATTTCTCCAACAAACCTAAATAATTTAATAATTTATTAAAGTACTTTTCATAAATATAAATTAAATCTTAGGGTTTTGTTGTGCATAGGTTCAAATTGCTGATTTGTGTTACTTGGATTTTTAGTTTTTAATTAATATATATAAAACTTGCCACAAATGTTCTGTCAAAGTATCATTGTCTGACCAATTCCTTGTCCAATCTGGTGACTAAAATAAATAATTATTTTTTTCGAATTATTGTATTTTTAATAATAGAAATAATACATATATATATATTTACAATGAATTTATTTTTTATTTTATTATATTAATTGCACTGAAAATAAAACAAAATTAACTAGCTACAACTAATATTACGATAAAAGCATAATCTGAGTCTATAATACTTAATGTATATGCTAGTGATGGGAATAATCGAGTGATTAATAAGTAATAAACTAATAACCAAATTATTTATTTGAATAAATTATAATTAACATTTGAAATTACTTAAATTCGTTAATAATGTTCATATAAATAATTGAATAATAATCTATTAACATTTAATATTGAAATATTGAATTTTGAGTATAAAGTAAATTTATTTTCATAACTTTTATTTAATTGTAAAGCTAAATTTTTTTAATCGCATACAGCAATACAAAATGCTATGTATCACATATCATATAATGTTGATGTAAATAATTAATTTTTACTTATTAGTAATTTATACTCTATAGTATCTACTGTTTATTACTACTTATAAACATTAAATACTAATGATCATTTTTAAATAATTAATTAATGATCATTTGAATGTTTATGATAATGAATGATCAATTAGTTTTAAATTAATTGAATGATTCAACTAATCTCATCACTAGTATAAATAGTAATTCACTAAGCATATTCAATTCTTTTTTTTTCTTTAATAACATAGTTATGAAAAAAATTATTCTTGGAATTTTTAATATACTTAACGACCATATTTTAAAATTCTTGAGATAATTTTTAATACATAAAGAGTGTTTTTTGGAGATTTGTATCTACAGAAAATTATTTAGTGGATAATTTTTCTGAAATTATGTACTTAGTTAAAAATTTGAATGAATAGTTTTTCAATTCATTTAAAAACTAGTGAGCATGCATAGTAAATCATACCCTTTAATTTTGATATAACGAGAAAATTATTCATTGTTTTAATGTTAATAAATTGGTTTTTAATCATAAGCTTAAAGTAATAAATAAGTTGTTAAGAGGACGTCGCACCCACATGTGTTGTCTCCGTCTTATACACTTATGACATAGTAAAATTTCGTCCGCCAGTTTCAATATTTGTGCTTTTAGTTTTGATATTAGAGTGAATTAATCTATTATCAAAGTTTTAATCAAAATCATTATCTGAGTTTTCTCGTTGGATTTTACAATTTTTTAGTTTTTAAGTGAGTTATGAGTATGAAAAATATAAATACTTGTAAAAACCAATGAGAGAACACAGACAATGTTCTTAATTAAAAATTTTGAATAATAGGTCAATTCACTCAAATATCAAAACTAAAAGCACATTATTGAAACTAGCGAAAGAAAATGTACTATATAATATGTGTGTAAAACGGAAACAACACATGTGAGTATAACGTCCTCTTAAAAATAATTTGCAAAAGTAAATAATAATCATAATATTTTAAATTAGTCTAATGAGCAAAATAATAAAATATTAAATATATTATATTAGTTAAACCACCTTAACAAAAAATTGATTTAAATTATATTTGATGATTAAATGCATAACTTTTTTTAATTTTTTTTATAATTAATAATAAAAAGATTTATTTCATTCTAAATTAAAAACAACATAGATTCATACTCTGTGTCGTTGATTGAAACTAGTATTATCAGCTGGAAATCGATTGGAAAACATTGCATTATGAGTGGTAGTCGATTGTGGACTAATTAAACCACACCTCCCTGATTCTGGTATGCATGATTTATGAACACTGATAAAACATTCTTCGCATTTGTAACCCTATAAAAATAAAATATTCATCAGAAGGGCCCAAATTTATATACCCTAAAAACCTTAGAAATATGCATTTATGCTCTATTTTATAGAAATATACCTTATAAAATAAAAAAATATACAAAAAAAAATCGATTGAAAAAAAGTCTTTTATTTTCATTAAATATAAATAAATAAAATTGAATGAAAGTTATGCGTATTCAGATCACAACAAACGAGACTAATGTATGATTCACTAAAACTTACTCAATAAAAAATGACTACTTGTCTTGATAGACTCGGATAAGATAGAAAACGACTTTGCCAAATTACATAGACTATATATATATATGTTATTTTAATTAAAATAAACAAAATATTACATATTATGCATTTAAAAACTATATATATGCAATAAAAAAAAATCGTAAAATACAGAAATATGCAAAATAAAACTTTATATTTTGGATCTATTGACTACAAATTAAACTTACAGCTCAGCTAGCTATTTTTTGGCCTGTTTAGAAAAAATATGTAAATGCATATAAATCTGGATTCTATTCATTAGATACGTGACTAGAAAACCAATAAAATATAATAATACTTTACCTGAAATATACAGCCTTTTAAGTATTTTGAACAATGATAACATACAGTTGGTATGTCAAATGTTTGCATTACAAATTTGTGACTTGTAGAACTGCACACTGATGGCTCAATATTATCCCTAAAAAATAGTTTTTATTTTTATAAATAATTAACAAAAATGTATTATGTTAATTAATTTTAAAAACTTGATACATAACTATTTTCCTCGATAATTTGGAATAAATTGATTATTAAAATTGAATTAAATAAATTATATTTATTATTAACTTTTTTTAAATATTTATAATAAATTATGTTGTTAACGTTTTCTTACATAGCATCCTTAATAGCCTTCATAAATTTCATCTGAAGTTCTTCAGATCTAGCATAAAATGTAAATACAGTGCTTTCTGACTTGTGAACCATGTGAAACTGATGAGACCATCGATTTTCTCTGTATAAGAATTTGCGACTAGTATAATCTTCAAGACGATATTGTGATATAAGAAGTGATTGCTTATAAGAATATTGATCACTCTGGAAACCAATGAACTAAATATGTCAAAATAAAACTTTATTATATTAATAATTTTTCACATTTATGGATTATTTATTTAAGTTTAATATTTTTGAAATAATAAAATTTTAAAATCTAGTTAAGAATAATTAAAAATTAAGGAAGTGAAGAAACTATTTTCACGTAAACACCATGAAAAATTCAGATTTGTTTTTTAAAATGCTATTGTTTTATTAAATAAATTTTTAAATTGAATAATAGATGTATACAATTGAAACAAAAAAAAAAAAAAAATCAACACTTGCAATAAAAATTTATCTTTAGATAAGTAATTTCTGTTGAATTTTTAAAATTTTATATACTAAGGTAATTTTGCAAGAAAAAAAAAGTATGCAATGATAAATATTAATCAATATAAGTGCATAATTAAAAGTAATAAAAATAAATACATAGAGACCAATTTAACTTACTTTAGTTGATTTGCAAATTAAGACAACTTGATCAAAAATGAAAACATATCTACAAAAATAAAAATTATAAAATATCTACATACAAGCAAAAAAAAATAATTAAAAATCAAACATTTACTAACATGCACAATACATTACTACACCAAACAAAGATTAAATTAAAATATACATTTTAAATTAATTAAATTACCTGGGTTTTAATTTTTGATCATTATGAGCTTTTATTTTTAATTCACCATCAGCAATTAAATGGCCATAGTTTTTCAATTCTGTCATTCCAACAACATCCCAATCAACAATACTTTTCTAAAAAAGAAATTTTTTATAAAAATCATTGAAAATTACAATATATTTTATGTTATGCATTTTTAACAATAATGGGTGTAAATAATTATTACTTGAACATCATTCATGATTTGCAAAGTATCACTGTCTCTCTTAACTTCATTTATATATTGAGCTATGTCTATCATACACTCTTTAGCCCATTCTAATCCTGGAAGATCTTTATGTGTCTAATTTTTAATCATATAAATGTTAATATATATATATATATATATATTCATATTTTTTTAGTACATAATTTTTTATATTATACCTGTGGAGTATCATGTATTAGTTTATCTAATAATAAATGGTATTTAAGTATCCTTTGCATTGGCACAGACAAAATGTCTCGTAGTTTAAATTTTCCATTATTAGCTTCTTCTTGGCATCGCTAAAAAATGTAATTAATTTCATTATCATTTTTAAAAAAACATTTTTTTAAATTTGAATAAAAAAATTATTTTGCTACATTAAAAATATTACATAACTAGTAGTTTAATTAGAAAAATGTAATATA